AACACATAAATAAGTAAATAAATAAACAAATAAATGGATGAGTAAAGAAATAAACAAATGAACAAATAAAAAGTAAATATTAGATTTGGAAAAAAATTATAGATTCAATTTTACGAACCGTTGATGGAGGTAAAGTGATGAAAAATTTGTCGATGGTGGACGAGCTATCAAATTTGCCAGGGTCGTTTCACCTATTGCAGTCGTATCAACTTCATGCTTCATGTTTGATGAACTTGCGGAATTCATTGTTTCCACTGCTAATGGTCTTCCTTTTTCCGGTATCAATACCGGTTGAACTGTTTCATTCTAGAATAAATTCTTAAAATTCTAAATTCCTGAAATCCTAAATATTATCGTAATTATATCACAAATCCGTAAACAATTTAATAAAAATTGCTACATCTCTAAGTTATATAAATTTAATCTATAATCTACCTGTGATATTTGTTGAGCACGATAAGCGGCAAGCTTTTTCAAATAATCCTTTTTTGCTATTTCTGTCCTCTGTTTATAAAGCTAAAAAAAAAAAAAAGAAAAAAGAAACAAGAAATGCAAATTTGTAATTTATTATATTTGCAAAAAAAAAAAAAATTTGCTTCAAATTTTAAAATATAAATTTTTTATTTAAAATTTTAATGAAGAACTAAAAAACAAAAGCCAACATTCTTTGCATGACAATCTAATGTATCCCACATTGATGCGACAATTTTTGATACTTCACCAAAACTTGCATTTGGACTCCTTCCTTTTATGGCAGCTTGCGTATCACGAAAAAATAAAGCATATGCTGAAACGGGCCTGAAATAATGGGACAAAAAAATTTGATTGCTTTTGACAGTAAAATATATATATATTTATTTTTTAAAATACTTATTCTCATTCATTACTATTATCAATAATAATAAATGTTATCTTTTGATGGAATTTAAAAATAAAATGTTAAAATTAAAATGAGAAAATGCGGGAGGGGGGGAGGGGGGGAGGGGAAAAAGAAAAAAATCCTACTTACTTTTGAGGTTCATTTGGATCCTTTTTTGAGCGCTTTTTTCTGATCGTTCGACGTGAAATTCGATTAGTCATTTGATCTGTACTATCTGTTACAGTATCATTATAACCACCACCACCACTACTACTACTACTACTAGTAATTGTTGTAATACCATTATTATATGGAGTAGTAGGATAAGTATATGTTTGTTGTTCTTCAGGGATTAATGATGGTTCAATACAATTTAAATCCAAACAGCAATCATTTTGTTCAATTCCATAAATTCCAAAATCAATGCAACTATTATCTGTACATGATGATACTGTTGAATAGTAGAGTGATGTCGGATGATACATTTAATTCTGTCTGAAGAAACAAAAAAAAAAAAATAAAAGAAAGAAAAGGAAAATTCATCAATATCTAATAATATCGAAAAGATTTTGAGGACGACAATTAAATTTAATGATCCGATGATTTCATTTATTTCTTCATTTAGTTACAAATGATATTTGAGGTGTTATTTTTTTTCATCGTTAAAATACTACTAAGAAATGATCAAAATTAGTAAATTGAGTGGAAATAGAAATCGTTCAAAAAAATTTTTCGAAATTTATACGAAAAATCATAAATGAATTTATAAGTTTTTTTTTCAGGAAAAAATAAAAGAAAAAATGGGAAAAATAGAAGAAAAGAAAATCAAAAATCGCTTTTTTTTTTTTTTAATTATATACATAATAATTGTAATAATTAATCAAATATCATTGATAGTACAAATATAATTCTAAAACAATATCTATGTATGTAAAAATTGAAAAATTTCCTCGTAAATTTCTTTACTTTTTTTTTTCTTTAATAAAATATGGGAGAAAAAAAAGAATTAATTAGGGTGAACAGGAAAAGACCAGTAACTGTAGTTGACAATTACAGATGGATGGTTACCGCATGCAATGACAACTCTTCCCCTCCACCCCTTCCTTGCATTCTTTCTTAAATAACCCGAGGAAGAATGGTTGAAAAGGATCGGTAAAAAGAAAGGGAAGGAACGAATAAAGAGATCTATTTATATTCGATTGCTGTTGTTGTTATTGTTTTTGTTGTTGTTGTCGTTGGTGTTTTTATTATTATTATTGTTGTTGTTGTTGTTGTTGTTGTTATTGTTTTGTTATTGTTTTGTTGTTTTGTTGTTGTTGCTGTTACTATTCTTGTTGTTACCTATACTGTTATTATTGTTATCGTTGTTATTGCTGTTGTTGTTATTATTATTATTATTATTATTATTATTATTATTATTATTATTATTATTATTATTATTATTATTATTATTATTATTATTATTATTATTATTATTATTATTATTATTATTATTATTA